TACTCATGGTGGTGGTTTAACAGGCGTGTCTGTTGAATCTGCTAGTCAATGTCACTTTGGCCGTGGATGTAACTTTGATGTCGAGACCGATCATCGAGAGCGTGGGCATAATCGAAGTTGCCAAGCTGTCCATACGATATGGTGACCTTATGCGGTTGTCAATCAAAACCATCTTTGAGAGCCGAATCTTGTTCGTTATGCCCATTATGGTTTGATTGAACACCGCGTATCCTTTCGACTGTATTGGTGAGTTGAGTGTCCAACGCTTGATGTTGTATTTCGTGTCCTCTTCAATGTTGAACTCGTCGCATATGATCAGTCGATGTTCGACTAATTCAACCGTTCCCTCACCCGACCACTTCGAGTCCATACCTATCATGTCAGTGAATGTCCAGCTAGCGTTAAGCCCATCATTAGACTGATGCATATCGCGAGCATACTCCTACCCGCTTCGCCGACCGCAACATACAACACGATGACTGATGGGCTTTTATCGGATCAGTCAGTACATTTCCAATTCTCCACAGGAAGTCTAGGTTCTGATCATCCCTAAGCGGCTGTTATATCGCATTGGGAATCTCGCTCTACGAATTGGGCATGATCATAATGGGACAACCATACGATAAGGTAGAACGATGTGTGGCTTCTCGGATTATCAGGGCATCATGTGGGTATACCTAACGACGGTGCTATTGCCATACTCGACCGTAAACCTGAGCCCTATGTGTATGTTGTTGGATATAGGCGCCATAGGAAATGAAAGCCGATACACCAATGAGGAGTACTTTCAGGGCCTGCAGATGATCAACAGGCGCATTGATATCAATCACATAGATACGTTATTAGGCCGCTGTTGGGGACTTGTTTGGCACCAGCTAAACGCTGTCATGTCTACGGTCAGCGACATTGATGGCATGTAAACCTCCTGGAAGTTACGTATGGGTTGTCGCACTCATGTTAGTGATCTTGTGTACACGGCCGTCACGATTTAGGCTATTGCCATCAAGATAGCCAACTACCTGTTACTACATGGCATACAAGTAAGTCACGGTACAGTATGATCCCTCAAGATAGCATCGACAGTATCTCAAACTATCAACCCCCGGTGATGTAGCGGTCTGTTAGCTACCTTGCGTACCCTTACAGAGTACGTATAATGAGCGCAGCTTCGTAAGTCGCCTCGTATTTGTTGCTGCGTGTCTTTAAATATGCTATGCGTAATTTACAACTACAAGGTGAATCACACATTGGCGTGATGGCGGGAAATGACGAAATCGACAGGGTGCTAGAGGACGACATGGGTTATGGGAATAACGATAGTGATAACCTGGCGAGCAGAAACCTGACTACCAGCATCGACAACGATCTCATCGACTATGAACCCGACGTTGATGTCACTCGAGCTCTCGGTTGAGCAGTTGACAATGAGGGTAACCAAACTAAAGGTTGAGGTACGAAATATCAAGAGGCATACAGTCAAGGAGAGGCCGAGAGTCGCGGCGTTGATACAACGATCACTTGCCATGCTGCTTACGAGTTCATAGATAACAAAGGCCCCAGTTGGTAATAAGTCCATCGCCACATAAGGAGATTAAGGCCAAGTTCGCCAATTCGAGATTAAGCCTGACATGAGTAGATAGTCAGCACCCCGGTCGATTTTGATGAGAGACTACGCCCGAGATCCGGCGTGACGTCGACGCGAGCGTAATGGAAATGACGGAGAAAGAGGTAATCACGCGCGAGTCCCGAATTCGAGACCGAGAGGAATGGGATTGGGATCGTTCATTACAGCCAGTCCGGAAAATACACCGAGCGTCAAGAGCGCCGGCGTGGTCTGCTTCTCGATCGAAAGTGACTTGGGACAATCAAAACCTGCTGCTGTTGAGTTCCAGCTCGAGTAGCTAGTTGAAACTATCACACGACCCGTCACTACCGTATCCCTCACGCCGGTCATCTAACTCCTCATGCCTACGGCTTAAGCTCGCTTTCGGACCGGCGTGATATTCCCGGTCTATATCGTCCCCTCGGTACAGACACTGATGCGAACGAGGCCGGCGGGTAGTGATACTTGAGAGCGGCAATATGCCTAGGCCGTAACACTCATTATCCCGCATGTTGCTCGTATCATTTTTATGTTGTCGTTGCTGTCTCTGATAGATAAGGGTCATCCCCTGATCGTGACCGCACCACTCAGCAACTTCGGAGTGATGCTGTTTTGCTACTCAAAATCAAACACGCTTAGCCTTTTACTGGTCATCACACCCTTGGTTCGAAAAGCGTTAATCAACTCGAACATCGACATTGCAACGGTCATCTCCCTCACCTAACTACCGAGTCCTCTCGCCATGTTCTTCATGTGAGAAGGTTCGGCCCGAGCATCCCACCGCTCTTGTCGTCTATCATACTAGGCATCCCCTCCCGGACCACTGCGTTCGTGACAGTTGTATCGTATGGGAGTAGTTCTCTGCCGTGAACCGGATGTACCCAGCCCGTCGCCCATCATCAGATTCTTAGACCCCACCTAGACTATCGCCATAAGATCCCCCATCTGGCTTATCTTCATATCGATCACTATACTGTATAGCTGGTGCCCATCACTATTGATACTTGGGGGTCATACCGATACGAACGTAGCCAACCGTGTTGATGTATCCTGCCCAAGAGAATGCTCCAGAGTCGCGAACTCTTTAGAGACCGTACCCGCATCCTCAGTATTCAAGGTCCTTATTAATCCAAACACCACATCCCGCCCAGGCATAGCCAAAGGCAGCTTCTCAGTCGACATAGGGATTATCACGAGTTAGGGGCATTATCGTTAAAGGCTGAATGTCTCCCATTGATAAAACCATCGCATCACCCTTCATCGCGCTAACCGAGAGGCCCTGTCTGAGTATCTGAATGCCTGGATTGAGACGAACATCAGTAGTCTATGCCCCAAATGGCATGCAGTTGGCCAAGGCCGAGAAGTGCTGCAAGGACTCAACCTTCGGCTCAATTATACCGACGAACCTAGATAGGACCGCATTGGTGAACACAGACGCTGGAGAGGCATGGGAGTTGAAGTCATGTAGCGGTTGAGCGTCTTGCCGTACTTCACTGGCCATCTAACGGGCCTGACGAGTTTTCCCTGCATTTTCGGTATAACGACGACCTTGTAGTTGTGCATCGTCGACATATCTATATGGCTTCAACACCACTCTCAGATGTCATCGCACATATACCTTTGCATCTAACCACCTAATCATGTCTTGACAGTCTACGAGGATACTTGAGAATCGCTACAGTATTGGCCGCCATGTCGAACGTCCTCGATGCCCCAACCATCTTGTAAACCGAGTATGCTCTCGATCTTGCCACTTGGCATCCAAACCCGCCACGGTCACAAGCAGGCATACGATTGTCAAGATTGGGTTCGGAAAACGAGCTGCTGTACTTGGCAATATAACTGTAACAGCGTGAATTACACCGACCATGCCATAATTAGTCGCAATATCGTCAAGCAGCGAATACAGATTCTCCCAATAGTTGTTGGTACGGTATGATTCAATGCTTCTATGGTGGCACGATCATCACACGCGGCATAAACGGCCAATACACTCATCATGATACTCGTCTCAACCGGCTGGAACTAATACGTGAGCCATCCATTTGAGTGTGCTAACAAATAGTCATCTACTACGCTATGCACATTAGCCTCATCGACATCGGCATACATAAGGTATCGTCTACAATTAGAACACGACTGACTACGGGCGGGAGCAACGACATGGAGTTTCTTCCCCTCGGTGATACTACATCAGTCTCGATCGTTGTATTCGACATGATGACCCAGCACCTGTTGGATTTGTACCTCTTCGTCGACGCTTTAAGTGTGAGGTATCATCGAGTTGATCAGAGAATGCGCTAAACAGCGAAGGCGTAGTCACAGTCATTGGGATAGTCGAGCTGTTACTGGTCGCCATGATTGGCATCGTATGCTAGGGAGCGAGTCCCTTTAACTAGGCTCATCCCCTTGTTTCCACTGTATGATTCTAATCGATCTTCGAGAGCTTCTTCGACCTTATGAGTATCTGGTCGTAGTTGTCCTGCACATCAGCTTTGACAATCTCGAATGGAGTTCCCAGCAGACTTTCTACAACTACGTCCTTGAGCTTACCGGCGGACGTAGACTCATCCTTAATCGAGCCACGTACCCACGAGAGTATCGAATCTACACCACCATATATGACCCCGTAGCCGTATCTCAAATGTGAATGTCATGTTCCTGATCTAGTATCTCGCCGCGTAAACCCTCGACAGACAATAGCATACCATGTTTCCCGCCCGTAGCCCTTAAACCGTGACAGTGCAAGGGCAACAGCTTAATGACCGACCATACGGATCCGAACCCGGCGGAGGTATTTACATCAGCACGGTAAACTATCCTCATAACCAACACAATTCGAACACGACATCATGGCTGTAAAGAATCAGCCGGACGTACAATCATCATGCGGGTGGATTATACCCGAGACAAACGTCGAGCAAGTTCTCTAGACTCAAAGCGCGGTTGAGACACATGCATGTCGACAAGAAGTTCTCAAGCAGTCATCTTTCCACACCACGCTCTGGCGATATTCTAGCCCTGTTCTCGGGAGCACCATAGACTTCTTAAGTGCTGTATCTGCAACTCACGGTCGTAAGCGTAGCCATTTCGGATCTTGTCCCGGAAGTCGTCTTGGCTGCGTATCCAAAGTCATCGACGATACCGTCCAGTTGGCTCTATTCCTTCTCGTCGTCTCGGTCATCCAGTATGGGCAGTAAGTACTCAGGTAGCCCATAGCACACCAACAGACGTAAACGTTGTCATCGTCATCATCATTCCACACCTCGCTCCAAAATGAGAACACATTCAACTACCGCAATACTAACTGTAAGCAATCAGTTGGACCTAACATCCTCAAATGTGCCTCCGTCGCTGTGGTACAAGTTGAGTTCCCCACAGGCGATAATGTTGCGGCATGCCATACAACATCGTTAACGTGGCCGCCGCGCCTGTGACTGATGATGACCCGAGTGCTGAACAATCGATCGCGTTAAGCCGCATAGCAAGAAAGCCACTCGTCCAACTCCGACCTGACCCGATCCTCATCGCTGTGGTAGGATTCCTGGAGTGGGTGATGAAAATACTGTGCCATGCCATGCAACATCGTCAACCTCGTCGTCGCTCCGTACGTAAGCAATCGATCACGATACCGCGCCGCGCAGCTCCAACGCAACTGCACCGTCAGACGAAGGACCGCACGCCGCTGACAACAGGGACGATCGTTGTGCACATGCGACACCGTCATCGTTGTCGTCGCGTTTGTGAGCAGTTGATCACGACGTTGTGTTGCGTGACGGGATGGCCACCCGTGCAACTCGGGTTGCGCGGGGGCAATGCCGTGCCATGTCGTGCGACATCGTCAACGTCGCCGTCGCTGTGCCGCACAACAGGATGGCCACCCGCGCAACTCGCCGAACTGCAACGTGCAACGGTGGGCGGACCGTGGGCACCGGAGGATGCGGCCGGGTGTGCAAGCCGCGAACGCCGGGGACGAGCGCTGCGGACATGCGGGAAGCGACCGCCGTGCGAAGCGAAGCGAAGCGAAGCGAAGGGGTTAAGGGTTAAGGGTTAGGGTTAGGGTTAAGTTAAGTTAGGGTTAGGGTTAAGGGTTAGGGTTAGGGTTAGGGTTAGGGTTAAGGGTTAGGGTTAGGGTTAAGGGTTAGGGTTAGGGTTAAGGGTTAGGGTTAAGGGTTAGGGTTAGGGTTAGGGTTAGGGTTAGGGTTAGGGTTAAGGGTTAGGG